AGCAGTAGAGACAACATCGGCAACAGCAGAGACAACATCGACAGCAGCAAAGACAACAACATCAGCAGCAGAGACAACATTGGCAGCAGCAGAGACAACATTGGCAGCAGCAGAGACAACATCGGCAGCAGCAGAGACAACATCGGCAGCAGCAGAGACAACATCGGCAGCAGCAGAGACAACATCGGCAGTAGCAGAGACAACATCGGCAGCAGCATGGACAACATCGGCAACAGTAGAGACGACATCGGCACCAATCGCGGGGTCCTTTAACTGCACCAGCCCCAATCGACGACGACACTCCACCGACACCTGCGCAGCAACTGAATCTAACACCACGAGAAGTACATCGAAGTGCAAACTTCACCGCAAGCTTCTACTCCAACTCCGACTTGTACCATCGCTCACCCAGACATCGAGCTGGCGAAGATATCTGGCACGCACGAATGGGAAATCCAAGCAACACGGTGTTAAATAACACAATCATAGCAGGCGTGCTCGACAAGGACACGCTACTACTAAGCGACGGAAGCGAACTTCGATGAGCTCGAGGAACGTGCTTTACCTGCCCCAAAGCCGACTTACCACATCGGTCGTTCGTTTCTCACCACAACCCGAGCGCATCAGCCTACGCACCACTTGAGAAAGTGTACAGCGACATTCTGTACAATCGCGAACCTGGACAAGTAGTATACAACTACACCATCACGTTCATCAACACCGCCACTCGCTACGTTTGGCACCTCAATCTTCCAAGCAAAGACATGGCTTTCGAGGCTTTCGTTGCCTGGCTCCCAGTAACAGAATGGGAATCGGGAGCTAAGCTAAAGAGCTTGCGGTGTGATGGGGGAGGAGAATACACCTCACAATGGTTCAAGCAGTACTTGGCAGAGAGGGGAATCAAGTGGCTCATCTCCCTTCCCTACGCCCACCAACAGCAAGGCATAGCAGAAAGGATAAGCAGGACTCTCCAGAACACCATGCGCAAGCTGCTACGTGGCATGCGGCTACCCAACCACCGATGGCCCGCAGCAATGGACCATGCTGTCATGCTGCACAACTTGCTCTCGTCATCATCGCTCCCGAACAACGCATCACCGCATCTGCTGTGGACAGGGAAATTGGGCAGCACAAAAATGTTGCGAGTTTTTGGCTGCGTGGTACAGTACCGACCCCCAGCTGCACGAGCCGGCCGATTCTCCTAACGCGCACAGTGGGGACTACACCTGGGCATCGAAAAGAATTGCAACGCGTGGAAGATTTTTTACGTCCACTCAAAGGAAACAGTAGCAGCACGTGATGTCATTTTCTACGAGCGACTTAGACTCCCGACGTACCTTGCCAACCTGGAAGAAGACTGGGACCCCACAGGTGGTTTTCATGGTGACCGAGCCTTCGCTTCGGTAGCAGATGAAGCTGAATGGGACGAACAAAACGTGGATGAAGCCTCGGAGGAAGCCGAACCTTTCCCTTACTGCTCTGTCGACGTCCCAATGGATGACGAAAATCCTCGCGAAAGTGCCAACGCCGAAGTATATTACCACTTCGCCGACAACGGTTACGTTACACCTGCAAGAGTCAACACCAACAAAGCAGAACGCATAGGGCCCAATTTCATACCTGACCCAGAAGCAGGAGACGAAGCAGCTTATCCCGAGGACACGACACTTCCCCGCTACACACAGAGTGGCCTCCAGATACTCGGTCTCGTCACCGCGGTTCACGGCGCAGCACTTCCTAAAGAGCCTACCACAGTTCAGCAGGCTCTGGGGGGGGAGCATAAGAAAAAGTGGCGCGAAGCCATGGACAAGGAGCTGAAAGCGCTAGAAGAACAAAACACATGGAAGGTCGTTCCCATCAGCGTGGCACGCAACAAAACGGTACTCACCGGAAAATGGGTTTTCCGTGTGAAGACGAAGGCGGACGACACCATCGACAAGATTAAGGCGCGCTGGGTCGTGCGCGGTTTCGACCAAGAGCACGGACGCGATTTCACCGAAACGTTCGCCCCGGTCAGCCAACACACTTCGCTTCGAATTCTCCTCGCGATCGGCGCCATGAAGAAGAAGAAGCTGCGGCAAATTGACGTCGCCAATGCATTCCTCTACGCACTTGTTGACGCAGAAATCTTCGTCAAACTTCCACACGGCTCCAATGGAGAGCCCAACCAAGTCTTTCAGCTGCTGAAGTCCCTGTACGGCATTAAATAGGCACTGAGACTGTGGCAGCAGTATCTGCACGCTAGACTCATTCGCATCGGATTCTGTCAGCTACCGCACGACCAGGGCATGTACCGACTCACAAAGGGCAACGACTACATTCTACTCATCGTCTACGTAGACGACCTGCTCTACATCGGCTCGACCGACAGCGTCACTTCAAAGGGGAGCTGCAGCAAGATCTCACGCTCACGGTTTCGTCCACCGTCACACAGTATCTCGGCCTCAATATTCAAGAAGAAGAAGACGCGATCTACCTTAGCGTCGCGAAATATTCCGACACTATCGCCAAACGCTTCGGACTCACCCCGATCTCCATCTCCACACCATACTGGTACACCGCAGGAAATCACAAGGAAGGATCCGCCACGCTCAAGCCCGCCGGCATATGCGACTACTAGAGAAAGCTGGGATGCCTCCTCTTCGCGGCCGTCACCTGCCGTGCGGACCTATCGTACTCTGCGAGTCAACTCGCCACCTACCGCAAAAGGCCCGAAGCAGAACATATGGCAGAGCTCGACCGCGCTCTTCACTATCTTGTTAGTGTCAAAGATAGTAGGAGTACGGCCTAGGCTTAGTAGCCTAGGCCACAGTAGGACTAGGAAAGGAGGTGAGAAGTACGAGCTAGGATTGTGTGCACGAACAGAATTGAGAAGGAATAATTGAACTAGCAAGCAGCAGGATACAAATAGCAAACCCTAAGGGGCTGTACTCACTATTGAGTGCCCCACTGCAGGCTACACAAACAACATATTCTGACACACCCCCATAGCCAAAGTGGGGTGTAATCAGCAAAACAAGCAAAGCAGAACAAGCTTAGGGTGGATCACAATGTCACCACACATTCTAAGCACAAGTACAAGAAGCAACAGTTTAAAGTTCACAATTATGAGCAAAGCTAGTGGTAGTCACAGCGGGCAAGTGAGGAGGAGGAGGGACTGTGAGAGGAGAGAAGATTAGAGACGACGGCTGAAGCTGCAGACACACGGGCAACAGGAGCGGCTGGCACAGTGGCTACCGAGACAGCGCCCCGGACTACTGGAGTAACTGGCTCACGGGCTACGAGGAGCTACAGGAGCAACGAACCCACGGGCGACAGGCGCAGCAGGCTCTCTCGGCTACCAGGACAGTGCGCCCCGGACTACAGGTGCTGCGGACGACAAGTCAGCAGCCTCCACTCAACCTCCCCAAACAGTCCCACACCCCCCTACACACACCCCCAGTTTCACCCCTAGCTCCACTCCCACATCACCCCCCTAGCTCCACTCCCCACAGCTCCCACACCTCCACCCCCCTCAGCGGCAGCTCCAGCAGTGGGAGATGAAAAAGGAGGAGGGGAGAACCCACACCTCTCACCCCCATGCTTGCCACCCCACACCCCCACCACCGCGGAACGCACGGCGGAATGGGAGCAAGGGGCAGCACGGGGGGGGGGGGGGGGGGGGGGGGGGGGGGGGGACGGGACGGGCTTCCGCAGGGGCGGCTCACGCGGGTCCTGGGGCGACTGCTGCAGGCACGGGCTGCTCCAGGGGCGGCTGCTGCAGGCACGGGCTGCTCCAGGGGCGGCTGCTGCAGGTGCGGGCTGCTCCAGGGGCGGCTGCTGCAGGTGCGGGCTGCTCCAGGGGCGGCCGCTGCAGGTGAAAGGTAGGAGGAGGTGGGGGGAGTCGGGGGGGGGGGGGGGGGGGGGGGGGGGGGTGGGGGCTGCGCGGCTCCCTTCTCGTCGCCCCTTGGGGGGGGAGGGCGCCGCGACAGGGCCCCAGAGCCGCCTCGACGGGCGACGGGGAGGGCGCCGCGCGGGCCCCCCGAAGTCGCCTCGACGGGCGACGGGGAGGGCCGTGCACGACCCCCGAAGTTGCCTCGACGGGCAACAGGGAGGGCGCCACGCACGGCCCCTGTGGTCGCCACGACGGGCGACTGATGGGGAGACCGCGCGGGCCCCCAAGGTCGCCTCGACGGGCGACAGGAGGGGAGGCCGCGCGGGTCCCCGAGGTCGCCTCGACGGGCGACGGGAGGGGAGGCCGCGAGGGTCCCCGAGAGCGCCTCGACGGGCGCTTCGACGGGAGGGGACCGCGGAGGCCCCCCCAAGGGCACCACGACGGGCGCCACGGAAGGGAAACCCGCCAGGCGCCCCAAGCGCGCGGCGGGCAGAAATTAGGGTTTCGTCGCCGCGCACCATGGGGCGCGCAGCGGACAGTACGGCAGCGGAAGCAGGTGGTGGGCCCATACACAGGAAGGTGGCAGACATGCCGCCCTCTGATACCATGTCAAAGATATTAGGAGTACGGCCTAGGCTTAGTAGCCTAGGCCACAGTAGGACTAGGAAAGGAGGCGCCAAATACGAGCTAGGATTGTGTGCACGAACAGAATTGAGAAGGAATAATTCAACTAGCAAGCAGCAGGATACAAATAGCAAACCCTAAGGGGCTGTACTCACTATTGAGTGCCCCACTGCAGGCTACACAAACAACATATTCGGACAGTTAGCACTCTGACGATTGGCCTGACCTATCACAAGAACGGAACCTCGACACCAAGGTAAATCGGCTACGTCGATGCCGATCACGCCGGCAACTCCGACAACAGACACTCACGCACCGGCTACATCTATCGCTTCGAACCTATCGGACCCATCTGTTGGCAGTCAAGCAAGCAGGAGTTAATCGCCCTCTCCTCAGCTGAAGCAGAATACATCGCACTCTGCTCAGCCACCAAGGAAGGACTGTACCTTTGCGAACTCCTGGAGGAAGCAAAGCTGGCTTAGTTACCCAGCTTCTCCTTGTTATGCGACAACCAGTCAGCAATTCGCATAGCCAACAAAAATGGATTCGCGAACAGGACGAAGCACATCACCCTGCGATACTTCTTCGTAAAGGACGAGATCGAGAAAGGCAGACTCTGACTGTCCTACTGCTCCACATCCGAGATGGCAGCTGACTACTTGACCAAGAAGCTCGGAAAGAAGAAGTTCGAGTACTGTGCTGCTGACTGGACAGAGCTACCCCCAGTGTTCTTACCTTTGATACTGAGGGTCGTGCTGTTGACTTTGAGGTCTGGGTCGATGACCTCCAGCTGTTCCTACAGTGCAATAGGGCAGACGGACTCTCCCTGTTCGATCTCACCTCTGGTGCCTCCCCTACCCCGCCTACTACTGCTGACAGCACTGTTCGCTCACAGTGGGACACACGCGATGATGCTGCCCGTCTTGCTGTGCGTCGCCACTTACCGACCACTGAGCGTGCGCACTTTAGCCAGTACAAGAGTGCTCAGACCTTGTGCGACGCTGTAGTTGCACGCTACTCCTCCCCTGCCACTACTGCGCTTAGCCGCCTCATGCTGCCGTACCTGTTCCCTGAACTTGCTGCCTTTCCCACAGTCGCTGACCTCATTACGCACCTTCGCACTAGTGACACTCGCTACTGCACTGCGCTTCCTGCTGAGTTCCGCGCCAAGAACAACCCCCCCATGTACATCACCCTCTACTACAAAGTCACCCGGCTCCCTGACTCCCTTCGCCTAGTCAGGGACCACTTCCTCTTAGTTTGCCCCACCACACTCACCGTAGACCTCCTCGAGGAGCGCCTCCTAGCAGCAGAGAAGAGCATAGTTGCTGTAGGAGCCTCTCGTGGTGACCCTCGCACCCCAGTCTTTGAGGGGTGTTCCCCCTCCCCCCTCTTGCCCTCCGTTACTTCTGTTGCTGCTGCCAACCTCGTTGGTTTCTACGGGGTCGGCGCTGCGTCTGCCCCTAGCGGGAGACGCCGCACCGGCAAGGGCAAGGGGGGCAAGGGCGCTGGAGGGGCTGGCGGGGGCGGTGGAGGTGGTGGTGGAGGCAGTGGAGGGGGTGGGGGTGGTGGTGGGAGTGGTGGCGGGGGTGGAGGTGTCGGTGGCAGCAGTGGAGGCGGAGGAGGCGGCAGCAGTGGCGGAGGGAGCGGAGGCGGCGGAGGTGGCGGAGGCGGCGGAGGTGGCGGAGGCGGCGGCGGCAGCGGTGGAGCTAGTCGCGGCTCTGCGCAGAGGAGTGGGTCTGGTGGCGGTCCGCGCCTGTAGCAGCAGCGCAGTCGTGAGACCCTGTCCCTTCAACAGCTTCGTGAGTGGTGTTAGAATCTAGAATAGAACGAGAATGATCAAAGTAGGAATGATGGGGATACAAGTAGGCAACCCTAGCAAAGTTGTACCCCCTAAGGCTAAACCCACTATAGCCTACACAATATAAACATATAATTTTTGACACACCCCCATAGGCTAAGTGGGAGACAACCAGATGGTCACAAGACCAGTCAAAGCAAAGCAAAGCAAGCTCAGGATGGACCTCAGGAAAACCACACAAATTCTGAGCACAAGCAAGTGGTCACAAGACCAGTTCACATGCAGGTTGATAATATAACAAGAGATACAGTGATCACAACCTAGCAAGAGCAGGCATGCAGGTACATATATAGAGATCACAGTACAAGCAGAGTCAAGAAGTAAGCAAGTGAGGACCAGTAGGCACAAGGCGTAGAACAGTACACAAGCGCTGATGGTCACAAGGTTGAAGCGCCTTGGTGAACACATCAGCAGTGTTGGCCCGAGTGGCCACGTAACGCAGACGAAGCTGACCGCGCTACTGCAGCTCTCTAGCAAGGAAGTAGCGCAGAGCGATATGCTTCATTCTGTGCTCTAGTCTGTGCTCCTCACACAAGGCAATGGCAGCCTTGTTGTCAACGTACAGCACTGGAGGAGAACGAGGCCGCTCTCCCAAGTCGTTCAGCAGGTAGGTGAGCCAGCGTAACTCCTGTGCAGCCATGGCTGTGGCGTAGATCTCAGCCTCACAACTGGAGCTGAGAACAGAAGACGAGCGTGTAGAACGCCAAGAATCTGAACCAGAGCCAAGACTGAAGGTGTAACCCTGAGACGACCGCCGAGTAGCCTGGTCGTCAGCCCAAGAAGCGTCTGAGTGCCCAGTGAGTACAACTCGGTCTCGTCCTCCAAGCACTAGCCCCATGCCCGACGTACTGCACAAGTAGCGCAACACCCTCTTAGCGGCATCCATGAGCTCCTTCCGGTGACGGCCAGGAACGACATAGCGTGCAAGGATGCTAAGAGGGTATGCAAGGTCAGGTCGAGTGCAGGTCATCAGGTAGATGAGGCGGCCCACAAGCTCTGGATACGGGCCACTCGGCTCTACGGACTCGTCTGAAGGCAGAGCTGAGAGCGATTGACCGGTAGGCAGAGGAGTGGCCTGAGGCGAGGAGTACGTGAAGCGGAAGCGCTAAAGGACCTGCTGCACCATGTGTGACTGAGTCAAGGTGATGGTGCGCTCTGCTCTGTCCCAGGTGATCCGCAAGCCAAGATAGCTTGTCAATTCACCCAGGTCTGTGCACGTGTGTCTCTTATGCAGCTCCGACTTCACGTGGGCGAGTGCCGCAGTGTCAGTAGTGGCAAAGACCAAGTCGTCGACGTACACGAGGATGTAGAACGGCGGCAGCGAAGTGTCGGTGCGTAGAAACAGCGACGGGTCAGCAGTAGAAGGAGCGAACCCAAGAGCCGCAAGTGTAGTCCTCAGTGTGTCGTGCCACTCATGCAGCGCCTAGCGGAGACCGTAGACTGTCCGCCGGAGGCTCCACTGGGTACCAGGAGGGAACGACCCAGTGAAGCCAGGTGGGCGGCGCAGCCAGATCTCCTCGTGCACGCTGCCGTGTAGGAAAGCAGTGCTGAAGTCAAGAGAGTGGAGCTCGTAGTCACGTTGAGCGGTGACGTGCAGCAGAACCCGAAGAGTGGTCATCTTCGGGGTCGGGGAGAAGGTCTAGAAGAAGTCAACTCCCTCTCGCTGACTGAAGCCTCGTGCAACGTAACGCGCCTTGAAGACAGGCGGAGAACCTGACGGCCGCTTCACCCTGAAAATCCACATGCCACTGACGATGTTTGCCCCAGGTGGGGAACCTCGTCGATGTAGGTGCCTGTGGACTTCCAGGAAGCCATCTCTGCATCCATGGATGTCTGCCACTAAGAGGAGTACTCACCCGCGATCGCCTCAGCGTAAGAGCGCGGGCTCGGGATGTCTGGAGCATCCGGGTCTCCCTCAGGGGCAACCAGCATGGACACGAGATGAGGTAAAGCAGCGGCAAAGCACTCAAGCTCCTCCTGCCTGTCCTCAAGGACGTCCGTGCCAAGAGCACACTCACCCCCGACGGACGGAGGACAGACAGACTCAGACTCAGCGACAAGGCTAGCGGCGTAGTCGAGACGATAAGCGGTAGCAAAGTCAACTAACTCAGCGAGTAGAGCAGACGCAGAAGAGGACTCAAAGGAAGGGTCAGTGACAACAGTGGCGAGGAGACGCGTGACAGTAGGACTGGCAGCACGAAGGGAGTTAGACTCTGGGTCAGCAAGAGCAGGAAGAGAGGACGCAGGAGGAGACGGCAGGGGGATGCGCTGAGGAGCAGAGGAAGGACGAAGCGCCATCTGGTGAGTGCCTGGGACAGCAGGAGGACGCTGACGAGGGACACGACGACCAGTATGAGCAGCACGAACAGGCAACGCACGACGAGACTCAGGCGACGCAGGACGAGACTCAGGCTCACGACGCTCTGTAAGACCTCCAGTTGGACCAGTGTAAGGAGAAGGACCAGGGAGTGGTAAGGCAGGAGGTAACTGTGACTGCTACTGGACTGGCGGAAGACACTCTAAGGAGGGAGAAGGACAGGGAGGAGGCGACTGACCAAGAACCTGCTGAAGGAGTAGAACGAAGTACGGCTGCGGCCGCGCAGCGCCGCCAGAACCAGCAGAGAGACCACCAGTAGGCTCAGCTCTAGGGTCTCCAGCTACAGCTCCTGCAGGACCACCAGTAGCTCCAGCAGCGCCAGCACCTCCAGCACCAGCAGCAGCTCCAACTCCAGGGTCCGCAACACCAGCAGTAGCTCCAGTAGTAGCAGCACCTCCAGCACCTCCAGCAGCCCCAGCACCAGCAGCACCTCCAGCAGCACGAGCGGCACCACCAGCACTAGTAGCACCTCCAGCAGCGTCAGCAGCACCAGCAGCACCTCCAATAGTAGCAGCACCTCCAGCAGCTCCAGCAGCACCAGCACCAGCAGCACCTCCAGCAGCACCACCAGTAGCAGCAGCACCTCCAGCAGCTCCAGCACCAGCAGTACTTCCAGTAGCGCCAGCAGCACCGCCAGCATCAGCACCTCCAGCAGCTCCAGCACCAGCAGTACTTCTAGTAGCGCCAGCAGCACCGCCAGCATCAGCACCTCCAGCAGCTCCAGCACCAGCAGCACCTCCAGTAGCGCCAGCAGCACCGCCAGCAGCAGCAGCACCTCCAGCACCAGGGTCGGCGACACTAGGAGCGCCACTCCGGAGACTGCAGCGTCAAGCGTACCACTCTCGGAGCCGCTGGAGAGAGGGCAGCTCCCGCCTAGGAGGGGAAGCACTAGCACCAGCTCCAGCAGCACTCCTAGCTCCAGAAGCACCTCTCCTAAGGCTGCAGTACTGTAAGTACCACTCACGCAGCTGCTGTGAGGAGAGAGCTCCTCCAGGTGTAGCACTCCCAGGCTCAGTACCTCCAGACCCAGCACCCCCAGACTCAGCACCCGCAGGCTCCGCACCTCCATGCTCAGCACCCCCAGACTCCGCAACCCCAGGCTCCGCACCCCCAGGCTCCGCACCCCCAGGCCCTGCACGCTCAGGCTCAGCACCCCTAGCAGGACGAGAGTCGAGAGCTACCTCGACATGCTCAACCGGGTCTACCTGGGACACACCTAAGGGAGCGGCACCCTGAGGGGGGAGGGGGTCTACCACAGCAGCACGTGGCGCGAGGAAGAAAGGCGGGGGGGGGAGCGGGGCAGTGCGGTAGGGGAAGAGGCGGCAGTAGGGCACCGACTCGTCAAAAGTGACATCTTGAGAGGGCAGGACATGGCGCGACGTGGCGTGGTAAAACTGCCAACCAGACGCGTCCGGGACAAAGCCAAGGAAGACACAAGGAATAGCGCGGGAGGAGTGTCAGAACATTGTAGCTTACGCATTTGTGTAGGATGTAGTCAGGTAGCCCATAAGGGGTACAAACCAATTAGGATTAGTACTTGTACCCAACTCTTTCATAGTTCATTCATTCTCGTTCTAAATTTCACATGGTATAAGTATGCTATTCTTGCTGCCATGTATGCTGTGACTATTAGTGATGAGGGTGACTGTTACCGGTGCTTTCCGCCCGACCCGGGCATTGAGACTGCTGCTCTAGGTACTGGTGAGGCTGCTGCTCTTGGCGCTAGCGAGGCTACTGCTCTAGGTGCTAGTGGGTCTGCTTCCTCAAGTGCTGGTGAGTCTGCTCTCTCACGTACTACGTCGGCTTCGGCCTCCCTCACCTTCATCCTTGACTCGGGGTCTTCTCGCTCCTTCTTTCGATACCGCACCACACTCACGCCGCTTAGTCGGCCAGTTGCAGTCTCTCTAGCAGACCCCTCTGAGGGTCCTTTCCTTGCTCACTTCTCCACTGTCCTCCCGTGTCCGGCGGCTCCCTCTGGCACCCTGTCTGGTCTTTACCTCCCCTTGTTCTCTATGAACTTGGTGAGTGGTGCTGACCTACAGGATAGGGGAGTTCACCAGCTCACTCCTGCGAGCCAGCGGGTGACGCACTGCACTGAGGCTCGGTCGGGCCGACACTTGGCCACGTTTACACGTCAGCCGGGGTCGAGCCTGTACACACTGACCACTGAGTCTCCTCCAGTCACTGAGTCTGGTCGGGTAGCTGCGTCTGGTCAGGTGTTTGCTGCAGCGTCCAGGTCTGGTCCCGAGTCTGCCCCCTGCTCGTGTTGTCGCCTGTCTCACGAGACTCTCCTTTGGCACCACCGCCTTGGACACCCTTCTCTTGCTCGTCTCCGAGGCATGGCCTCCCGTGTCCATGTCTCTGGCCTTCCCCGGTCCCTCCCTCCCCTTCCCCGGGGGCTTGCCCCTCCCTGCGTCCCCTGCGTCAGGTGTTTGCTGCTGCGTCCAGGTCTGGTCCTGAGTCTGCCCCCTGCTCGTGTCGCCTCCTATCTCACGAGACTCTCCTCTGGCACCACCACCTTGGT